CCCCAAAACCCCAAAACCCCAAAACCCCAAAACCCCAAAACCCCAAAACCCCGAGATTTGTTAATGATATTGAATATTAGACTTCATTCACTGAAGATATTTTGGATTTGGGGGAGTGGACTGAGTATATAGATGCTCTGGAGATGAATAGTTGGGGAGCTGGTTTTAAGGGTTGGACAGGGTGTTTGGACTCTCTATGGGTGAGGTTGGGGTTACTCTGGTGGAAGGTTTGTAGGGGGGTTAGTAGGTAACAAGGGCCTGCTGCTTGGTGGTGTTGACATCATTACTTTAATCTTGGAATCTATGGTGAGAAAGGTGGGGTACTTTTGAGTGGATTTTTTGAGAATATTCCTGATCATAGCTGATAATCTCTTTCAGTCCATTCTTCGTTCATGTATTTATCCTACAATTACATAATTATGCATTACCATAAATCTTTTAACCTTAGCTCTGTATAATTTTTTCTTTGCTTCTTCATCAAACAGTTTAGGTTGTTGTATTCCTTCATGATCACTGTTGCTGTCACTGTCGTCAAGAGTCAGCACATTAGGCTTTTGATGAGTTATGATGAACTTTTCACTATCGTCAAGTAGAGATGCAACTAGAGTTTCTAGGTGTCTCATGTTCTTGGAGAACTTGACAGCATCAAACTCATGAGCATATTTATCTTCACCTTTGGAATAGAATTCCACCCTTTTCATTAGATTGAGTTTATTTCTTCTATTTATTCAGCAACAAAACAATCATTTAAGGCACCCAGAAGAATTAAATGCTCTCTTATTTGCAACAGATCATGAAAGGGCTAATAATTCATTTCATTAAGATGTTATAAAGTAGGTCTGTGAACTTCCAGCCATATTTAGTCCTCCTGTTAATTACTTCTTTAGCTTGATTTGTTAACTCTTCTTTTGGTGTCTCTGAATGGTATTGATCATTATCGATGTCCTTGTGTTCCTCTTCTTCCTTTATATTAGATTCAGAGTTATCGCTTACATCTTGAGAACTCACCATTCTTTGAGAATAGTTTCTTCTCTCTACAATTTAGACTGTTTTTACCCTCTTGTTTGTCTTTGGGTTCCTCCACTTGGTACATTTTTGAGAATATTGTATAAAAGAACAGTCTCTCTGCGAAGAGACTAACAATGAGGCCTCCAACAATTGTGAATATCTCAAGAAGGCCTCCAATGTTTCCAAAGGCTTCTAGGACAGTGAAAACCGAACGCTCGTAAGATTTCGAAGATGAATCTTTAGTGAATACAACATCTATGAAGAATGAATATTATCTTACTAAGAAGGTCTCCATCGTAATTTTCTTCTGTAGCCAGACGCTCAATGGCTGTATCAATTCCAATGAACTCTTTACTATCTCCTCCAGGAGCGAACGCTAAGTAATCGTCTTGGATTTCAGCTTCATTTTTCCTATGAAGTTAGCCTATTACTTACTGAAGCCTGATACCAATATTTTGAGAGAATCCTGGCATGATGTCGTACAAGAATCGACCATCTAGGTATGTCTTGATTGGGTTATCATAGTCTTCAAAATCAAAATAAGTGTTCACCTAAAGAATCGTTTCTTTGTCAAAACTTTATACTTTTGAAGCATCGTTTAAAATGAAGGTACAACTTATATTGAGAATGAAACTGGTGAAACGTGTTGGTGAGTACACTTACTATATAAACTCTGATTTGAACTTTTTTCAAGATGGAGTTAATTGTAGTATTTGATTGACAAGTAACAGTACTTGTTGCATTGTTGCATCTATTAATAATGTTAAGTTCTTACCTGGTAATCCTGAAGGAGAAGTATGAGACAGTTTCTGAGAGAATGTTTCCAAGCACTGAGAAATTTCTAGAGTCAGGACAGTAAAATCTAAATGCTATTTGCTATACATTTACTCGCTAAGCTTGAGATAATCAATCTATAAACTAGTTTTAGAGCTTACTTCTTGCTGATTGTCATATCTAAAATTGTTTCCACACCTAGAGACACTAATTGGGGTCTGATTTGAGACTCCTAAAAGATTCTCAAATGGATTACTCGAAGCTAAAATTAATAGTATATCTACTTTGGTTAACGTAAAATTGAGTGATTGCAGCTGTCGCATAGCTTGGTTCATTGAACATGTCAAAATCGATCCCATCTATTGTGGCTCTGATTGCGAACTGAAATTTTGTATCGCTGAAGAATTAGGCCATAAAGTTACGTGAGATTAATAGGCTCTGTGTCATTTAAAATATCTAAATTATGATGGTAAAATCAACTTAAACAAGAAGAAATTCAAAATATTCTTTTAGCATTTGGTATATTCAGACTTGTTACATTATTGCTGATCAAGATTCGATCCTTTTAAATTAGAACCTTACTCTGAACTGTGGTGTTCACATTTTTCGAACTATTCTTGTTTGCTAAATAATATACCAAAACTGTTACTGATCATGATGGATATCATTTGGATAGAGTATAAAAGGATCACTATCTTAATGATCAGAGAGATCTAAACTTAAGAGTTTGTCATACAATTCCTCCAAAGAGAGTCTTGAATTCTCTATATAAAATTAGATCGATTTCTAAATGCAAAGAATAATTCTGAATAGACGAAAAGTTTTTGACTTACTCTTGTCCTTTAAAAGTAAATGTGATTGTTTTGGGATACCTATTTATTTTTGACCATCAGAATAATGAATTATTGGTGATTACATACATATCTACTCCTTTGACAGTTCTGAGCAAGTATTTGGAAGCTTTTGTAAAGATCTTGTTAGCCATTTTATTCGATTTCAAATTCAAAAACTTTATCTACTCTTGGGGTTTTGGGGTTTTGGGGTTTTGGGGTTTTGGGG